AAAGAGACTCAGTGCTGGGAAGCTAGCAGTCTTGCACAAACTGGTCTATAAAGTCAGCGCGATCTCCATCAGATTGGTTTCTTAGCGGAAACCAGAGTGTGGGAACAGGGGTGGGAGCGATCTCGTGGTGGAGGCAGGTAGCAGAACCATGTGGATAAAGCGAGTGGAAATCAGCACGAGAGCAAGCCAGACGGCATCACTGGTGTCTACGGCTGTCCTCTGTGGGAGTCCTGGGGCGTCCCCAGATCAGGGGGCAGAGAGCCCGACGCCAGTCCGTGTCGACAAGCGGCCAGGCCTCCTGACGGCCCGCCGCATTTCCCCAGTCCTAATTCGGAGGCAGGCCCTCACGGCAGGTGGACATCAGACGAAGGCCCGTCCTCTGCCCCCTGGGCGGGCCGTGGGCAAGGTGTCTGCCTAGCTTCTGCACACCCCTCCCTGCCCGCCAGCCTCCTCCTCTCAAACTGCTTTCCTCTTGGCAGAATGTGTCCACCAGCGGCTCTTGGGCCCCAATTCTCAGGGAGTCACCTCCAGGGAGGATGTAGAGATGGGCTCTTGTGCCAGTTTCTGATCTGGCCAAAATCCTACGGAAGAACCCTGAGCGGTCCGCTTCGGTCTTGGGCCAAACCCTCGGCCCATCGACTGAGGCTCGAAGGAGGGCTGTGCGGTGACTGACAGCCGCTCGCAGGGAGGTGCCCGGAGTGGGGGAGGGGAGGAGCAGCTCCCTCCATAGGGCCTGCTGTGCCTCAAGCATCTCCCCTGGGGGAGGCCTGGGACAGACCCAGGCCTCCCTCTCCGCCCAGGCCAGTGGAAACACCCAGGCCCCTGAGTCCTCCCCACAGAATTTGATGAGGAGGGTTCAGAGGCGCCAAAGTCCAGGAGGGTTCTTCCGTCACAGTGGGAGCAACGCGAGGCCCAGGCCTTCTATGGCTGCACCACCAACCCCCTTGGAAAGAAAGGGGAGGGCAGATCTCAGGAGGGACTCACTCATGGGAGGCGACCGAGGTCTGGTGGGCAGGCATAGCCTCCACCCCATCCCTGGATGTTTGGAATCTGTGCAAGAGGCTTGAGACAAAAGCTTCAGCGTTGGCAGCCCAGGGGAGGTGGCGATCTGCCGGTAAACTCACGCTCTAAAGGGAAAACATCAGCGCCGATCTGCAGGGTCTGACAATTTCCCTGACATAACTGTTTCCACCACAGCCAACTTGAAGCTCCCAGCTGCGTGAAAACTAGCTGGCAGATTTCTGCGTATTTAGAAACCGCCCCTCCAGGGCTGATGGGAGTGGCCCCAGCACCCGACTGGCAGATGGGGGTAGACGGGAGGGGCCGGGCTTTCTGGCTGCAGCCCCCTGCTGAATTCTTTCCTCCCTCAAGCATCCTGGAGCTGCCTGGGCCACACCGGAGCTGGCTGCCAGCCCCCCATGCAACCACACAGCCTCCAAGCTCTGATCTGCCACAGGCCACAGAAGTTTGGAGACTTACCACAGACCCTGTGGAAGTGGGGCTAGCTCTGGGCCCCCAAGCATCCTCAGTATATCTTTCTGTGAGCCTGCTGCGTCCTTCCACTGTGGACCTCAGTCCCGGAACAGAGAGAGGTGTGGGCCTGCAGCAGGCTGTGGGAGGTTGGCCCCCCTGAGCAATGATTCCCTGGCATTGAGAGAGAAGGGGGCGGAGACAGGGAGCATGCCAGGAGCCGAGCCCCTGCCTCTCAGAGCCAGGGATGTCCCTCGGTGTCCGTGTTTGGCTCTGGAGGGGTGGGGGGCAGCATCAGCCTAGTGCCGAGGACTGCAGGGGACAGGGAGTGAGACCCTGAGGGAACAGCATGGCTTCTCCCCTGCCTGATGCTCAGAACAGCACTTAAGTGCAGGGACCGCCCTTACATTATCCCTACTGGGGGCTTTTGCAGTTGGGTTTGCAGAATCCTCAGTTGCTATTGGAAACAATGATGTCACTGGCAGGGGGCGGAGCTTGAGCCATCCTTTGCTTTAGGGAGGTGAAGCACTCTGGGGCGGGG